AGCCTTAAACTAGGTGCAAGCTAGTTCTGCCCTTAATGAAGGAAGAGGGATGCTCCTGGAAAGTAAGTCACTTGCTTTTCTTACCCACTCGTAGATGAACAGTCCTCCCAGCTGCAGAAAAAACCTGCTTTTTCCCTTCCCCTGCCCTGTTTGTGAGGCCATGCCATGACCTGGGCCAGGAATTTGGTGTGAGCCTTGAACAAGCTAACCCAAGTACTGCGCCCTTTGCTTTTTCCCTTTCTCAGGATTTTAACATGGTTCGTTCCTCCCTCGCTGAGACCCCACAAAGCCCCTGGAGATGGAGCAGCATTGCAGAGGGAAGCCAGGAACTGCTCTAGGCTCGACAAGGGCACCACGAGACTTGTCTGTACACCCACAGCCTCTGACTAGACGCAGAGCTTTTAAGCAGCAAACGTTAGGTGTGACGATTTTTCTCTTTGTTCGCTTTCCACTGTGCACGTACATGCGTGGGTCGTACTGACAAGGTATTAATGATTCTTGAAGCACGATAAGCGAGAGGAGGCAGATGTAGTGCATGGGAAATCAGTGTGAGTACGCTGCAGCCTTGGGATTGGTTAGTGATGCTTTTGTTTCCTGCTCTGTAAGCTCTCAGAGAATGTTGTGGGAAAAGTGAGATTGTCATTGCTATTTTGTTCATCTCTACCTTTCAGTGTGTGCCTCTGGTTTGGCATTGCATCACCAAAGTGCTAAACTCAGAAGAAAATACAGGCAATGCATTTAAGCTGAACACGTCAAGTATTATCAGGGGCAGAAATTTCTAGCAATTTGTTGGCCAGAAAAGATAAGAAAAATAGAAGTAAAATTTGGGAGTGGAATGCTTCTGGACATGTTATTTTGTATGTATGAGCACTTGAAAAAAAACCACATTATGGATAATAGCCAAAATCTTGCAAAAGAAACAAATGGACTTATGTCAAAATATGTGCTAAAAATCTCATGTTCTTTTGGACCAAAACATATGGGCTAGATAGTAGATCTGTATCAGAGCTTTGAAGCTGAGATTTTAAATACTTATTCAAAATGAACCTTGTGCCATGAATGCTATCAAATGCTTAATTAAGATTGCACTAGCAAGGAGCATGTTTGCAGTAAATTATGGGGAGGTGTTCTGACATGCTTTATCTATGTAAAGACTTCTATTTTTATGTGAAGCTATTTACAGATTATTGATTTCAAAAATAGATCTGTAACTAAAGAAAGATGCATCGTATTTCAGTTGCTTGGAGTTGAGAATCTTGCCTGGCTGGCTGCCCTCTCTCTTAGGTGTTTATTTCAGTGGCTTACGACTGTATGGAGTGATTTCAGTCCTTCTTATTTTTCTCTCTCGATTTGGAAGAAGGAATTTGTATTCGAGGATCAAGTCCCATGTCTCTTACCCACGCATGTAGGCTGATTTTTACACTTTTGAAGCATCGGAACAATGTCATTGAAGTCCGTGAGACTTTTTGTGTGAGTAAGACTGTTGGGTGGGAACATCCATCACAATATCTTTTGTCAGTTGTTACTGTTTTATTTCAGAGCAGTAAGCTATTGTCACAATGCCACTGGAGCCTGCTAAGCTGTAAGAGTGCCTTTGAGTTCATCTAATAGATAACTTCAGCATAAGATTTTTTTTTTATTTTATGCTATGTGAGCATTAAAAAGATTTTAAGAAATAAATTAGGGCAAAGCCTGAAGGCAGAGGTAATATCTTTTATTAGAGCAACTGAGAGAGTTTGAAAACTTAGACAAGCTTGTGTGCCCAAGAGCTTGTCTATTTTTTCCAGCCATACCAGTTGGTCTAATAAAAGATATTGCCTCTGTCTACAAGCCTTGTCCTGCCTGTGAACTTTGTTCGTCATAGCTACAGCAAAATACTGCTGGATCATAAAAATAATTCAGGCATTTCTTTCTTAATTATGGAAACTCAGATTTTTATGATTTCCTCAAGGCTCAGCTTTTTGAATCCCAGCACATACAGAATGATGCTGTCTGGTTTCTCCTGCTGTAGAGGAGAGTTTCATCACACAGGAGCTCAAACTTCTTCATCAATTCTTTATTTTGGAAAGGAGGTTATTAGAGGTGGCCTGCTAAAAATGCTTCTGCTATCTGGATTTTAGAGTATTTTGGATAGTAGTGTTGGTGACATATCAGATGGCCATGGGAGCAGTCCTGTCCTGGTACCTGTATCAGCATCTCTGGTGTGGTGTGATGGTGATGGGAAGCAGATGAAGTGGGAAGAAGAGGCTGGCGAACAGGAAGTCTCTAGCTTTGGCTGTGGCTGTAAATCTTTGAATCTTGCGACGTGTCTGGCTGGGTAAGCAGAATAGTGTAGCCCTTCTGAATGGCAGGAAGCTTGGATTTGGACTTGTTTCAGCTGGAAGACCTAGACCCAGAGCTGTGTGAGAGTCATAAGACCAGCCATGCAGCAGGTTTTTCAGAGAAATTTAACACGCCTTTTAGAGACCTTAAATGTCTCTTGAATCTGAATCTGCAACTCTGGGTTAGTAGCTTTAAAATAGCTGCAGGTAAGGACAAGGTAGTGATGAACTGGACCATCTTGAAAGATCCATGGAGCAGATGCTTTTCCATGCTCTGGGGACACAAGCCCTTTCTGTAGTTTGCAATCTTGGGGTCACACCAGATCTGTCCCCGTGCTGCTTGTCCTTCGGCCGCTCACCTGGAGGCTGTCACTCTTGCCCTTGCTGCCCCTGAGGAGCGTTGCTGCAGGCACTGCTCTGCCTTTGAAGTGGAATGGGATGATGCCCCTGGGATGTTTAGTTCCATGCTCTGTGCTGCCTTCCATCTGCTGTTGGGCACAGCTTAAATAGCTGGTAATTACTTATAAGCCCTCCGTGGCCGGGATCTGGGCTATTTTAGAAGCTGCGTCTCCCTGCATGCCCTGTTGTGGAAGTTGCGGCTGGTTGGAATGGCGCGTCGCCCTCTCGCTGTGGTGACCTCCTCTCCTGGGTGTGTTGCATGGAATTCGGGGGCAAGAGCTCCCAGCTCTGGCATGTGGTCCCTTGGGCTGCCTGCCAGGGCCTAAATTTGGTGACCTTTAGGATGTAGCAGGAGATGCCTTTGTAAACCTTGGTTATAGTATCTGGGAGACAAGCAGAGAATGCTGGAGAAGGGAGGAACATATTTTTTATACAGAAGCTGTTTGCAGGCTGTTTGGTTTTTATGACCAGCAACTAGTAGATAAATAGGCTAACAAATGCTGTGACAACTGCAGTGGTTGCTCTTTAATCAAATATAAAACTAAAAAAATTATACAGATTTCCTCTAGGAGAGCAAGCACGTGTGTGACCGACAAAAGCGCCATGACTCCTAAGGCTGGTTCGGGCACTTGATCTACTCTCCACTTTGCTGAAATAATCTAGTTTCCATTTTGTTCTGAGGACAGTCATTTTTTAAAGGTGTCTAGAATTGGTTGCTGTATCATTACCCGTGTAGTTTGTGGGTTGTTTTGTTCCTTTTAAGGAAGAGCAAACAAGCCAAGCCCTGTGGCCTGGCAGTTGTGTGGGTTACTCAAGAATGTGGTTTCATGTTATACCTAATTTGGTGTAACCGTGGGATGCATCTTCCACCCTGCTCTTTGCACTGTTGTGCAGGCTGAGCTGACTTCAGCCTGCTGACCGCTGGAGGTCCTACCCAGTTTTTGTTTGCTTTTGGTCAGCTAGTTTTGATGGATGAGACCTTGGACTGGTGAGCTGAACTGACTCACCGTGGGGCTGCTTCATCATCCCCCCTGGTGCCAGGGGCGCAGCAGGACACACGTCTGGCTGGAGGAGGGGGTGAGCAGGGTTGCCCCAGTGTGCCAATAAGGCAATTGGGAAAGGTGCCTTTGTTTCCTCACTGCAGGGCCTTCCTGGCAAGAAGGACTGTCCAGTGGTTTGGTTTTGACAACCAGCATGTGTGAAGATGTTTGTGAAGATCTACTGGGAGGGCAACAAAGCTGGTGAAGGGCCTGGAGAACAGACCTTATGAGGAGCAATTGAGGGAGCTGAGTCTGTTCAGTTTGACGAAGAGGAGGCTGAGGGGAGATCTCATCATGCTCTACAATTACTTGAAAGGACATTGTAGAGAGGTTGGTGCTGGTCTCTTCTCACAGATAATTAGGGACAGAACCAGGGGGAATGGTTGCAAGTTGCAACAGGGCAAGTTTAGGCTGGACATTAGGAAGAAATTCTTCACAGAAGGAGTGATCAGAAACTGGGATAGACTGCCTAGGGAGGCGGTTGAGTCGCCAGCCCTGGATGTGTTCAAGTGTTGCTTAGATGTGGTGTTGGGTGATATGGTTTAGGGGTGAACTTGTAGTGTAGGGTCAATGGTTGGACTCAATGATCCCAAGGGTCTTTTCCAACCTGAATTGTTCTATGATTCTATGATTCTATGTTACAGGTTTACAGAGTGTTCTTGTTCTGTGTGACTGTGGCTGACCTACAGAGGACGAAAGATCATCTTTCTACCTCCCTTCCAATTGTTTCTGCTAATTTAGCATCAGTTTGAAGCTTTGTCTTTGCTTAGAGATCAAATGGCTGGGGACAAGGCTCTTTTTTTTTTTTTACTGTGTGGTAAAAGTAGCAAGGTCAGTCCCACTGGGGTTTGTAGGATTTTCCCTGCCTAATTTATCTCATGTATAAAGGGTAGGTTTTCCATCACCTATAGCTAATGCGTGTTAGTAACTCTAGGGTCAAAAAGTCCCTTTTCAGCAATGAAAACAAGATTTCCCTCTCTAAATGCATATTCACCACAATGGATAAGAATGCTTTTGCAGTTCCAGCCTTCCCAGCTCTCTATTTTACACCCTATCTCATTAAACATCTCAGAGAAAAGAATCTTATTTTACCTGCAAACTCAGATCATTCCACTTTGCGAGACTTCCTCAGTGACATTACCTTTTCTGGGACCAGGAAACAGATTTCTGGTGAAAAAAACCTTGAACTTAAGCAATCTTTTCTCTTCTGCATCTTTCAGAAAGAAATAAGCATTTGAAGATGACAACCTCGTGGAGTGACCGACTCCAGAATGCAGCGGATCTCCCTGCAAACATGGATGGGCATGCTCTGAAAAAGTACCGCCGGGAAGCTTATCACCGGTAAGTTGTTCATGTAACCCCAAAACTAGAGTGCTGAGAAAGAGGGAAATAAACTAAGCATAAAACCCACATATCTTGGTTTTTGCTTGTTGGTAAAACAGAAAGGTCGTTCTCACCTTCCTTGCAGAAGTGTTAGTAGAAGAGAGAACTTGGAAGATAGCACAGTGTTGGCCGGCAGGAATTTACAAAGGGCAGAGTTGAGATACATGTACCAGAGCGAGTGAGGGGATGCTTTCTTCTTGCATTCGAAAGATTAATCCAAGTTAGATTTTTGAGATAGAAGCTTTCAAGTCAAGAAATAATCAGTGGAAGAAGCGTTGTAGTAATTATTGCAGTGCACACTGGGAGAGCGTAGCCTTAGACACTGGAATGCACAAACACAAATAAGGAAGGAATTAAATGGGATCAGAAATTAAGTGTTTGAGAATTATATCTAGTATATAATTGCATGCACCACAGGAGCATGCAGAAACACTAGAAAGATATCAGCCTCCTTTTCTGTGCTAGGCAGGCCTAAGATCACCTTACCGTCTGAAAAAATAGGATAGAGTAAGGAATAAAAGAAAAGTTATCACTCTAATGTTGTAGTTTGGGAATCAAAGTACAGACACTGGATTGTTTGCAGAAGGTCACGTTGGAGGTTTGGTTGAGCTAAGAATTTAGGCCACAGCTCTGAAGGTTCCAGGCATAGACCATAAAAGACGGATGCAGTCTATACCTTTATCAGATGTCTGGACTGTTAAAAACAACATCCCTGAGTAATTGCCAGTGTTCTCTTTGTGGGAGGTGTATCTTCAAAGTTTAATTTGAGAAGTCATGCAGTATGATGATCAGAGTATATTCAGCAGATGTCTGATATAGAAACAGAAAAAGAAGTCAAGTTTCCCAACCTCATGTTTAAATGCCACGTTGCATTTGTGATTCATACACACAGTGTTTTTTCAGAGGAAGTGTTTTGGAAGTGTTAGATATATTTTGATTCTCCAAATGGAATCTAATTAGAGAAAAACGCCTTAGCATCATATGATAGGCCAGGTTGTGCAAGCTGCAGTGCCTAAGGTAAGCTAATGGATCTCGTGATGCATTTCTGGAGCTTTCCAATTTTCAGTGAATATGTTTGGGCACATGTCTTAAATGGTGACATTACTTGAGTCTTTCTGTGTCAGCTGGTTTGTTAGATATGGAAGGGTGTAATGATTCTAACTATATATAGCATGTAAAAAGAGAGGAGTTTATACCATTTCTGGCAAAAAAATCTTCACCTTATTGAAGTCATTGAGAGGTTTACCTTTGTCATAATTTTACCTATGGCTTGAATAATTCTGTGTTACTTATGATTTAGACTGATGGAAACGAAGTCAGGGTAAGGCTTTTTTAGTTCTTTTTTTTTCCCCCTTAATATTTCCTCAGCATTTTTTATGGTTAGGTGATGACAGTCAGCTACGTGTTGTACAAGATCCAAAGGAAGCAATACTTGTGTTTAAGAGCTCACACATTCAAGTCCTCATCATATTTACCCTTACTTACATAAGAAATCTTTAATTTGAGAAAGCATTTCCTTATGGAAGATGAGAGTACACTCATGTAAGAGAGGGTTTCCCGCTACGAGCTGGGATCTGGTAGTTCAAAATCAGTGTGTGGGACAGTTTGAGTACTCCTTCTTAGAATCTAGAAATGTCTTATTCAAAACTTACTGAGCAGAAACGTTGCTAGCACTTCATGGAAAGCTTTAAGAGGAGGCACGTTTTGGTTTTGAATTGACTGTCCTCTCAGAGAGAGAGAGAGAGAGAGAGGAGGGAGGGAGGGAGAGAGGGAATAGGAGAGAATGACAGAACCTGATCCAAGACTGTAGTATAAATCTGTGCTATTAATGGCTTTGGTGTACCGGTTTCGTGGGAGTTATTTTGATAATCCAGTATTGTAAGAATCTGAAACAACCTCATTCCAGAGGCAGTGTTGTCAGATTTCTATTTCTGGTATTTTTTGTGATCTTAGTGTTAACAGATGTGATGTTACTTTAAAGATAAGTGCAGACTTAATATGATAGAGTGGGACTGAAGTTATTTTTCCTTGTTTTATATTATGATTTTCAATATTTTAATAGTTGTTCAAATGTAGAATATGTGTGTTGGTCACAGCCATCAGTTCTAGGATGTAAATTTGTTTCAGTGAGGTCCAAGCGTGCTCAGATTCTTGGATGTTGCTGAAGCACTGTCAAGTTTATGAAGAAGAGAAATATAAAACACAAGTCATTCTTTGTCAAGATTCTTTTCTTTCTCTTCCTTTTTTTCTTTCTCTTTCAGTCTCTTTTTTCTTTATCTTCTTACTCTAGCAGTAAAAAAAACCAAACCCTGAAAGCACAAATCTAAAGTGACTTGGAAATGAAAAACAAAAAAAAAAGAACACTTAATTTAAAACAAATACTTTTTTTACCTTAAAGCTGGGCCCAGTCTGGAAAACTGGAGGAGCTTGGCAGCTGGGTGGCATTTACTGATGAATGTAACAGGGGCCAGCTTTTGATACTAATGTCAGAAGCCCAGTTGGGCTCATTCATTAGGATTTTCTAAATGTTGCTACTAATGCTTGGTTTTCTGAAGTCTGAAATTTTTAAAACTTGTTTCTTTGTTTCTTTATGTCATGCTTACAGATTTGATGAGCTCGAGTTGTAGATGTTGAAGCAGCATCAAATAAGGGGGAAAGTTTCCAATCTCAGCAAAATAATTTACTTTAAAAAATAAAAATAATGTTTTCATGGGCATGAAGCTTCTAAAAAAGCTTCATAAAAGAGCTAGTTCTGAATATACCAATCTAATAGTAATATTTTATTGTGGCCTTTCATACTAGGAGTATGTTTGTTCAGGTGTTGCTCTTCCCGTTGTATCATCCTTGATGGATGGATGTGTTCAACTTATAATAATATTGGCAGAAATCCCAGCTGAGACTGGTTTAACTGGTGTAATGCATACTGACTCAGAGTATGATGACTATATCATCATCATGTCTGAATGCCATGGGCAAGAGTGTTCAAAATCAAATATTTCTAGCTGTTTTCCTTCCAAAAGTTTTGCTTGGTGTTTGGATGTTTGCATAACTGCTTAAGAAACTAAAGTATGGAGGTTATTGATGAAGCAAGCAACGCTTGTGAGTGTGAACACATGCACTATACTGTAGAATTCAAGGGCCATGAAAGCAACGTTAAGAATCAGAAAAATCTGGAGAGGAGGAGGTGGGTGATGGGGTTTTATCTTCAGGGTATTTGATGACTTTCAGGCTTTTGGTTAGCTAGTGTTACTACCAGCCGCAAACCTTGTTATACAACATTGTTGGCGCCTGTTGGAGGTGAGGTCTAAAGATGAATTAATATACAAGCTAGATGTTATTCATTCTCTAGCAGAGGTCACTGGTAAGAGGATACTGCATTACTGTGCTATTGGCAACATACATTTTAATTCAGAAATAAAATGGATGTGTAGCTGTTAGGTGGCTTTTCCTTAGTGTGTGTGGTTGTGAGGCCACCTCCCTCCTGCACTGCTTGTTGACTTTTCCCGGTAGAGGATAATCACTAGGTCATTTGTTCTGGAGGAGTACTGTCATTTAACGTGATTGTAATTAGGCAAGAACTAGGTTGACTCTGAGCCACCAAATTGCCCTAGTGTCTATTTTTTAACTTGGAGTGAGCACTTCTAGGCACCCTCTGGATTATCTCACATAGCTCTTTAGGGTTTAAATAGCAACCACGTCTAGTTAAAGCAAATAATGGAAAAAGTTGGTGTTCCATCCAGTCTTGTTACTGACAGTTACCAAGATCCAGGAAACAGGTATTTGCATTTACTTTTATTCTGTGGTTTTGGCTTACCAGGGCAGTAAGGCTGAGATGGCCTTTTTGTTAAACATACAGACTTTGAGATGCTTTTACTGGTTTTCATCAGAGTAATTTGAGACCTCTCATCCTGAACATGGGGTTTCTGTTGTTTTGTTTTCTTGCTCTGTTGTTTACTGGCTAGTGCAGTGGATCTGCTGACGTGATTCCTAATCCTAATTCTTCTGCTGATCGGTCACAGAGTATTGAAGAAATTGCTTCATAGTTTTGTGCTTCAGTTTGCTTTCAAAGCATCTCATGGTGGTAATACGAGTTAGGTGGTTTAAGCTGTTAAAATAGACTGAGATCCTGGGTAAAAAAAATGGTATATACTTTAATAATGTCAAAGCAAACAGATTCACAATTAGTTGTTTTGATTTCTAGGGTTAGAGATATATTTTGATTTGTTCAAATTTGTAAACTCTGGGCTATTCACCGCTACTCTTGTTTCTTCACTGTACTGATACTGGATCATCAATGATTGCAAACAGGTGGAAATGTTATATAAACTAGGCTGTGAGATTTTAAACTGTTTATCTGTTTGGAGAGCTATCTATAAAAGCTCTTTAAAATGAATTCATTGAGGTGGCAAATGAGAAAGAAATCCTTACCACTCTGAAAATGTTCTCTTCGTCAGACACGTTCAGGTGGGCTGTGTGTGGTATTTTCCTGTAACTGTACATGAGGTATCTCTGTAGGCACTGCTGGCTCTGATCTGTCCTCATCTGTCTGTGCGCAGCCTCCTTGGGCTCGTGTGGTGGCGTATGTGTAGCGGGGGGCAGCATGTGGGTCTTTATTTTGCTTCCGTGCTTTGGACGCTGGTGAGAGGAGGGAAAGGGAGCATTTAGGTGGCAGACTGGGTGAGTGTATGAGGAAGCAGAGCACTTGCCAAATTAATAATAAAGAAATTACATTGAAAATGTCCCATGATCCCTAGCTTTAATAGTTTCACAGAGCAGACAGGTGTTATTTTGGGATGGAATCCATATGTGAGCTTCTTGGCACTGCTGTTGCCTGGGAAGAAAGCCCAAACAATGGAAACAGAAATGGCCAAGGCTATGTCCTTACATCTGATTCCGGCTGAATTTCAGAGGGAGTGCTCATAGTTGTGTTTCTGGATGCAGCCTCATCAGACAAAATT